ATGTTGACGTGAACATTTTTAATACCTAAATAAAAAATAAAATATAATTGATATAATATTCATTTAGGCATGAACAATTAGATTAATAATACATAATACATACCATCCAATCTTAAATCTTGTTCCACAAGAATATGTGTAGGATTACTAGTGTAGCATGTGCTCTTATCCAATATACTTTCGTGGAAATTTGATTAGACACCAAAATGACCTGAGTATCGTCTCCAAGAGGCTTGAACACTTTTTTAATTTTGCTCATCGAAATTATCAGATAAGATTTTCATAGTTTCGTCTAACAAAAATATTTTGGGGAATTGAGGTTATAGTGAGTTTCTAGCTATCATGTCATAAACACGACCAGGAGTGCCGACCACTACATGTGATCTCGTTTGAAGCTCACGCATGTCATCATGAATGTTTGTTCCGGCAATGCAAATCCAACAATATATTTTCATAAATTCGCTCAAAACATTAACCATCTAATAATGACATTACATTTATTATATTATTATGACTAGTTCAAAATAGTATCAAATAAACTAAGCTTACCTTTTGAATTTTCAGAGCTAAATCACGATTTGAGGCCAGAATGAGGGCTCGGCACTTGTTTAAACTACAGTATCGATAATATGTTGGAGAATAGAAATCAAAGCAGAAGTTGTCTTTCCAGTACCAGGTGGAGATTGAATAATGACATCATGCCCTATGATGCGTGGCACTATAGCTCGCTGTTGAATATGTGATGGCTTCCCAAAGCCACATCCATAGATGCTAAATAACAATTCTTCCTTTAAATCCATGGCATGAAAGTTGTCCACCACTTTTTTCACAGTCATCCATTAGTGAGCCTAAGTCCAAAGTAATTTATATAATACTAGCTGATCCCGTGCACTTCGTTTCCCGTTAAATGTACCAACTCTATAATATGACTCAAACATTGTTCAATGCGTTATTTAATATTCGGTGTATGATGTTCTAGATTTATCTTAACTTTTCTGTTGCCTGGAATAAAAATTCTGAATTACAGCAGTACATTATCAGATAGGTAATTTACCTGCGGTAGATCGCGGACCCCGTGCTGTTTGTACGTAAGTGTATGATTTAACTCAAAAAGTACCAAAGTTATACCAAGTTTAACGTTTTTACTTAATTCCACCTACCTATAAATCCTTACCTAACCTAACCGTACTAAAATCCGATGAATAAAAAAAACCAAATTTAACCCTTTTTAAATTAGCGTATCTTCTTCCCATAGGTCTAATCTACACACCGTCATTCATTTATATATAAGATATATTTACAAAAAATAATAATACAAATCAACAAACATGCCCGATTAACCAATAGCAACCAATATAATATAATACACAATAGAGTAAATAAAGACAACGGTAACGAGTTCAAATCCCAGACATCAATAAATAGTTTTTGCAGTTTTTCTAATTATTCGGTTGACTTTTAAAAAATTTTCTTTCGTAAAAACCTTCACCTGGCAATTACGAACATCTTAAAAAAAAATTGAGACAAATCGGACCAGCCGTTCTCAACTGATGCAATTTCGAATTTTTTGTCTCCATTTTTATATATATAGATAATCTATTTACGTGGAACCTTGTTTTAAATTTTTAATCCTTAGCTATAAAAGTTGAACATTTTATGCATTTTTAACTACAAAATATTTATTAGATTTTGTCAAAATTCTTTGAACTTTAAATGCTGATAACGAAAATTGTGCCTATGTATTTTTAATATTTTGCAACTGGGAACGATTCTGGTTTACCAACCTATCGATTTTGCAAATTTTTTTTTTCAAAATGTGTATTTTAGTGTGCTTTATAAGAATGTAAAAATAAAATCCCGGACATAAACTTCATTTTGAAGTTATTGATGAAAAACTTCAAAAACTATATTTTTTTCGTAACGCGCAAAAAAAAAAAACGTAGGTAACCTGCAAAAAAATACTAATTAGAAATGCGAATATCGCTCGGACAAAAAAATCGAAAATATTCCACGATTTTCTAATCTTATGTAAAACCATCTTGGGCAGGCCTCGGAATTAAACAAAGTTGTTAAAAAGCACATTGGTCATCTGCTAGAGTAGCCACTCGCCCGCTCTTACAAAAAAATCAAAAAAAAACGCCAAACACAAGTTCCTCCGCGCAGCATTAAAGTAGTGTTGCGCACATGCGTATAAACGTAAAATCTCAAACTTTGGATGGCTATAACTTCCAAAACAATGGTTTCCGCAAACGAATTCGAACAGTTTTAAAATCAGAGTAGGAAAACACTTCTTTAGAAAAAAAAATTTAAATATTCAATTCTAAGTATTTTTTTTTTAAAAATGCGCGTTACGCAAAATATGTAGTTTTTAAAGTTTTTCATCAATAACTTCAAAACGAAGCTTTTTTTTACATTCTTATAAAGCACCCGAAAATACACATTTTGGAGAAAAAAAAATTTGAAAAATCGATAGGGAGCTAATCCAGAATTATGCCTTTTATTGATATTTATAGAAAAAAAAAGTAAAAAAATTGAAAACTGATGTCCGTAAACAGCTCAAAAAGAGTCAAAATTTCATCGTTATTATAGAGAATGCTAATATAAACATTCAGTCAAAATGTCATGTATCCACCATTTATTCGTTTTTGAATTTCAACAAAATAACAAAATCGCTACATGAGAAATCGAGTGAATATCCAATGTTGTAAAAATTTGAATTTCAAACGCTCATAAAAATTTAATTTGACTTTCTTATAGACATTTATTTCTTGATAAAGGTATCCCAATCTTGTATCCCATTTTAAAACCTTAGATTTAAAAAGAAAATTTTTACGAATTCTTAACTCAAAATAATTTGCTAATTTTCGTAATTTTTTTCGTATTTTGTCAATTTAACAAATTTTTATCAAATTTAAAATTGAATAATTATTTTGTAGTTAAAAATGTATAAAATGTTCAACTTTTATATCTAAGGATTGAAAATTTAAATTAAGATTCCACGTAAGTAGTTAATTCTGTTACCAAAAAATCTAAAAAATACATAAGCACAGTTTATTTTTATAGTCATTTTAAGTTCAACTTTGGACAAAATTACATAAAAAAAAAAACAGAATAACTATTTAGTTATTCTGTTGTGATTGTGTAATATTATTCGTGGGTACTTGAAACTTCTAAAGTACACTATTATATATCTATGGAGTATGGACTATGATAGTATCAGGGTTTGTTGTTGAAGTATAACGCATTATAAGTACCTAATGGATATTGGGATATGATTAATTTGGAATTTATTATAGGTAGGTACCTATTTTAGGTAATTTTTTTTTAATACGATAGATAAGTATATATTAATATGTCTTATACCTAGACTGACATACCGTCTCCGCTCAGAATCGTCTTTCTTATACAATGATATTATATCATTGAATTCAAATTTAATACTATCCATTATACAGTGACCCACTTGTAACCTACTGTACAGCAGAGCACCTTTTTTATATGAATATCAATAAAAATTAATTTGTTGAGTAAAAATACTTGAAAATTTAATACTAGGCTCCTACTATATTGTTTCAAAGGCAGATGAAAAATATTAAAAATCCTTTGTCAGAGTTTTTTTCATTACATATCCTGCTATATAATAAAGCACATTGTCTGTCAATGAATTTAAAATCGGATTGTTGCAGTTGTCAGTTATTAATTGTACCTGTTCCTCATTTTCTAGTACATGTTTAGTTTTTTTATACTTCCATTTAAAACAAAGAATCTTCGTGAAAAGTCAATGAGAAACAATTTCCAGTTGATTGTTTGATACAATCATAATTTATTATGACAAAAATGAATATCAAAGACGAAAAAAATTACATTTCAAATATCTTAAACAAAAATTCAAATTTTGGTGGGATTTCGGCATGCATTTGACCTACTCAAAATGGCGGATAGTAACTTCACATCATATCACTATTTAGCACGGACTAAGATATACAGGACTGGACACGACATGGTTGGAGGGTGTGGGGGGGTTGACTACGAAATGTTTTACAACAGGCAGTGTTCGGGGGGATATTTTCCTTTTAGCATTACTAGCGCCGTCCTAGTGGATACTTATGGAACTAGAACACATCATACAAATTTCTAGTTCCATAAGTATCCACTAAGACGGCGCTAGTAATGCTAAAAGGAAAATATCCCCCGAACTCCGCCTGTTGTAAAACATTTCGTAACCACAATATTCATCTCGTGTCCAGTCCTGTATTCTTAGTCCGTGCTATTTAGCAATCTAGTTTATTATCTATATCTGTGTTTGTAAACAAACTGTTATCACGTATCGCCTTCTCTAATTCCCGTGATAACTGATAATAGTTTATCATTCCGTGGGTAGTATACTACTTGGTGAAGACGTCAGAAATTCGGAACTCGAAATTATTTATTTTAACATGCTTACCAGTACTACTTACTGCTCGTATTGAACACAATCCACCATTTTACTTACCATAGTTACCAATTCCGCAGTACTCACGGCCGAGGATTTTTAACCGCGGATTCGCAGCGACCCCGACTGTTCCGTTTGACCGTCAGAAATGTTCCGGAACAACCGGGTGAAACACATCGGTTGGTTCGTTTACGAATCGTTTGCGAGGACTATTGGATACCGTCAGCCCCGTCGTTTAGCTGTCAAGCCAAACGTAAGACTTACCTCCACGGTTGTCAGTCGCCATTGACGTCGGCACTGTGCCGCGGTTCCGTCGTCCTTCTCAAATTCCCGTGATAATAGTTTATCATTCCGTGGTAGACGGTAGTTCACTACTTGGTGAAGTCAGAAATTCGGAACTCGAAATTATTTATTTTAACATGCTTACTATTATAGTACTACTTACTGCTCGTATTGAACACAATCCACCAATATACTTACCATAGTTACCAATTCCGCAGTACTCACGGCCGAGGATTTTTAACCGCGGATTCGCAGCGATCCCGACTGTTCCGTTTGCCCGTCAGAAATGTTCCGGAACAACCGGGTGAAACACATCGGTTGGTTCGTTTACGAATCGTTCGCGAGGACTATTGGATACCGTCAGCCCCGTCGTTTAGCTGTCAAGCCAAACGTAAGACTTACCGCCACGGTTGTCATTGACGTCGGCACTGTACCGCGGTGTCGTCGTCCCGACAGTGTTTTGGGGCGGCAAATTGTCCGGACTTCAACGATTCAATATTGGATTGACGTCTCGCCTTTGACCATAGATTTCTGGCGGAAAATCAATATCGTTTCTTACGATAAATAATAAACTAATTGAGTTGATTATATTATTTTGATTGACTGACAACAATTTTTTTTTTTAAATTATTTGCCTGGTTTGTTGTCGACGGCAATTAGTATAATAATATGAATGATATTATGTCCGTTGTGTCCCTGTTACTACTCCTCCACAATGTTTGTAATCACTTATCGCTAATTGTTAGTTTTGCCCGTTACTCATACCGATTTGTAGGGTCGAATTAGTTTATGCGCCTTATAAATTTACGTCGTGGAGTGCTGACCACTGACAGTGGTATTCTATAGCTACGAAAAAGTGGTGTGTTAGAACTGGTCGACTGCGGAGGAGTGGCGCATATTTTTTCGCCTAAAATATGTTTGACTTGTAAAACTGTTCATTGTCTTTGCAGATCCGACTACCGGTGGCGTTGAGCCTGGCCCTTCCTTTCTTTAGCAGTAAAAAGACAAGCTTGACCAAAGTCAACGAACACGATTTAGAAGTTGATGACGACAAACTAGTCTTGCAACAAAAACTTATTGAAGCTGATCAGCTCTTTCTGGCAAACAAGTATGAGGACGTAGTACGTTTACTTGTAGACTATAAGGTGATTATGTTTGATTTAATCTTTTTTATTGCTATGTAATGACTGAAGAGTAGATTACATAAATAATATTATTTATGCAATATATTTTTATGTATGTGAGTGCATATGAAAACTGTCAAAAATATTTTCATGCAGCTTAATTCCTTTAAATTAATACTAAGTAGTAGATACTACCTTTAAGAGGATGCTGCATAGGAATTTGTTGTTTCTGTCTTACAAGTTCGTAACATATATCAAATTTACATTCAGCAGATCACGTTTAGCTTTGTTAGTTTAAAAATTAAGCTAAACATGATCTGCTGACCGTAAATTTGGTATGTCACGTATTTGTAAGAAGGCTACAACAAATGCCTGTGTAACATATTCTAAAAAAGTCATAGACATTGAGAATTAAAATTGTTGAAGTTATTGAAGAAACTGTAACTTCTAATGGATACTTACATCATGCTGTCCTGCCCATGTGCCTATCTATTTTATACATGTTTATCTTATTGGTTTAATTGTATGCAGAATGTAAATATTAGTTTTTTTGATAAAAATAAAATAAAGTTTGAATCAATCAATTCGGCCTGTATCCTTAATTTAAAATTAAAATAAATTTTTTAAAAAAATTTTTAAGGTTTTTTTTTTATCAGTAAGCCACATTTAAGTAGTTGATAACTTTTATAACTTTGATTAATTTCCATACGATATTTATGACTATAGTAAAAATGAAAAGTTAATATTTTTATGTTTGTTAACATAATAGTCATAATTGTTTATATTGTGTATTCCAGGACAAAAATGATGTACAAGTACTATGGCGTTTGAGCAAAGCTGAGTACAATATGAGTTTAGATGAAAACATTAGCAAGGAGAAAAAAAAATCTTTGATATCATCAGCACATGAATGTATTATTAAAGCATTAAGTATTGATTCAAATATATCTGAAGTTCACAAATGGGCTGCTGTCTTAATCGATGCATACAGTAATATCAATTTAGGGATCAAAGAACAAGTACTTAAATTGGAAACTGTAAAATTTCATTTGCAAGTACGTAAAGCGAGACATTTTCTTCTTAAAATGATACTAAACCTGCATGTTTTGTCAGCAACTTAAAAATGTAGAACATAGCAAATGTATGTTGGTTCAGTAGAACTGATTTTATGTTGTTAGCTTTAATATTAAGAGTGAATTGACCTATAATAAAACTTGAAGGCATTGGTGTGGTGAACAATTATAAACCATGAATCATGACGCACAGCAAATATTTCAGTACATACCCACTCTTTGTCCCTTTGATACAATACCATATAGCAGGGGTCTCCAAACTTTTTTATTCAAGGGCCACAAAAAAAATCAAATGCTCTTAGCGGGCCAAAAGTTTAATAACACATATAATTTTTAACTTTATGATAATATAGGTACCTATATAAATAATATGTTTACTTTATATTTTTGTATAGAATATTGTTTACTTTACAATATACTTAAATAAAAATAAATAGGTATAAATATAATATAATATAAATACATTTTTTAAATTATTTTTTTATCTTTATTTACCTATGCGTCCTATGCGGGCCACGGGCCGGTTAAAACTTGTTCGAGGCCGTATCCGGCCGCGGCCGTAGTTTGGAGACCCCTGCCATATAGTATAGTATATAATTATTATGTGACTGTAAATATTTTGATGTTTGTATTATGTTATTGGTTACCATAATGTATCCAACCCCCCAACCCCCAAAAAAATTTCCAGCATGATGCCTAGGCGTCATAAAACCCCGTTCACCACACTACGGCTTGAAGGAAAGAATATTATCTGTTATCTGTTATTTTTACGATATTTTATTTTTAAGCGAATTCTATTAGATATAATATATCATCATATTTTCGCATTTCATATTTTATATTTAAATACTCATAACTTGCTAAAAAATAAAAAAACCGAAGAGGGATAACAGATATTTTCTTAGGCTTCAAGTTTGATTATATGTCAATTCGTTCTAAAGTAACAACATAAAATCAGTTCTACTAAACACAAATTTGGTATGTTGCATGTTTGTAAGATGGAAACAACACATGCAGGTATAGCGCCCTCTTAACAATTAAATCACTTAATTAATTATCTATTATTCTTCTCTAGATGGCATTGGAACTTAACCCGAAAGATCCATTTTCACAATACATGATTGGTTATTGGTAAGGCTTCAAATTGATATTGTACATTATCACTATATTTAATAGCATTTATTTATTAATCAAGTTTCTAGCACTACAGTATCATTATCCTGATGTAATAAAATATATATTTTTTATACTTGTACAAATTTAAATGTATAGCCGAGGTAGAAAGAACCAGTTAGTAATAAGTAATTTCACTCTTAAAGACTAAGATATGAGTAATGAAGTAATGTATTAATTATTGTAAGAGCCGTAATTTTAAAATCATTTTATTTATAAGTCAAAATAAGACTCATTATTCTTTTTATTGATTGGGTATTTTTTTATTTTTACACATTGCATAATAAATAAGTATAACTATACAATTTTTAGGTGTTACAATCTTGCTGATATCTCTTGGTTTCGGAGAAAGCTTGGATCAATTATATTTGGCACTGATATTCCTGAGTCGACATATGAAGAAGCATTAGAATATTTTAGACAAGCTGAATCAATTCAACCTAAGTTTTACTGGTACAAACTACTTGATGTGTTAATCTTAATTTATTTTTTCGTAACTTATTAATTATTGTATTTATTTTACAGCAAAAATCTCCTTATGTTAGGCAAAACGTTTTTGAAGATGGACAACAAGTTTAGCGCCGAGTATTATCTGAAATTAGTCACCCAATACCCTGTTAAAACTGTCGAAGACCATCAGGTAATTATCAGAGTTTTAATTTTAATTCAATTGCTCTGTAGATTTACAAATTTACTCAAATACTCAAATTTATTTTGGTTGAATGATATCTTTATGTATCCATCTAAATTTTTTTTTAACTATCCATTCTGTTTTGAATTGTTTTGAATTTAATTGCCTCACTAGTTTTGTACAATCAAAACAAAGTTCAAAACTATATGGTAATTGTAAGTGAACTATATTTCTTTACTAGGTTTTATTCCAATAATGTTTATAAGTTTCAGAAATCATCCCATTACACATTATGTATCTTTATTAAGCTTATATTCCTCTGTATTTGTACTACTTATTATAATTTATAAACTTTTTACTAAACTTTATGTAACAATTGTTTGTATTGATAATTCATAAACAATTTGTCATAATTTCTATTTACTAATGCTGCTTAATAGAATCATATGTTTTTATTACTATCAATCCAATAACTACTACCCACTACTATTTTTGTTGTGTCAGATAATGTTAAGTAGTTAATAAAAAATGTTTTTGTAGTTGCTTATAATTATAAATAATGATAATGTTAATTAGACACCAGTCATATCTATTTTTTTTTAAATTTTTTTACCGCCTAGTGCCTATAATACTTATGTCATGAATGATATTATATATCATATTTTTATGTATGTTTATACAAATCTGTATGTACACTGAAAACTTGTTTTTAAGTTATCTAATTAGAACTTTAAACTTATATTTAACTAATATATTTTCTTTTCTAAAGTAAAATTTAATAAATATGTTATAGTTATTGTCTATAGAATGAAATTGCAAAATAATTACAAAAAAATAATAACAGAAAAAACCATGAGAGTATTAGATACAAAATTAATTTTTGCATTTAGTAGTTTTATTAATATGACTGTAAATAATATTATGAATGATATTTAATTATTTGAAAATATACTTTTTAGGCCAAAATTGAAGCAGAAAAAATCCTCAAATCATCGTTTGGGTAATAGTCAAATTACTATATTTTTCTTTTACAATTTCATGACAACTAGATTATTATCATCACCGCCTCTTTAAAATGGTAATGAATGTGTACGCTTATTGCTTAATGATTTGACTACTATATTTTTACCCTAACTTAGCATATCAGTGTAGATACCTATAACTTCAGAATTTCTATTCTTCAATGATCTGTACTCGAGGTCTTCAAACTATAGCCTGCATCTTAAGTTAAAAACCTATCAATATATTTTTTTTTTATACATATTGTCTGCACATAAATTATAACCTGTAAGTAACTTGTTATTTAATTTATTAAAAATAAATTGTTTTCAAGTAAATCATTATACATTTTATAACTTAAAATAGGTATATGACTTTGTATGAACTGTACTTTAATAGTATTTAAGTGTCTATGAGATACTAATCTTATAATTAATTAGCTAACGCTTTAACACGTTTACTGCGTATCATATTTTTGTATACTTGTTGTGACGCTGATAAAATTCTAGTTTTAAAAAAAAATTTCCTAAAAATTGAAAAATTAAAATATCAGTGTACGGTTTGCACTTGATTATGAAACAATGCTTATAGAAGACGCTGACAAAAAACCAAAAGTTTAATCGTAACGCTGACCAAATTATAGTCCATTAAATAACAAGATACATGACGCCAATTGGCGTCATTCAGCATATGCGAACTATGTACAATGATGCCAATTGGCGTTTTACGCAGCAAACGTGTTAAGTTACATTTTTTGCTGTCACTAGTCCTATACTTTATATATTATACTTAAATCATATTATATATAAGTAAAAACTTTGTAATTAAGGAGTCGAAACTTAGCTGTTAATTACAATACCTATTTATGACTTACTTTAAACATAGTATTCTGTGATTAAACGAAATGATCTTTTTTATGTTACTTAATTTATTTATAGACATACTATATTAGTATTTATTTGTTCCTTTGAAGTGCTGTGTGTTACATTAGTTTTACATTTTTTACTTTTGTTATGAAAATAAACTATTATCATTTAAACAATCTATATTAATTGTGTTTATGTTCAAAATCTGGAATTGATATATATATATAATATTTGCAATATAATGAATCTATTGTCTAAATCAATATTAGACTAAAATGGCTTATATTGTGAACGTAAATTTGTTATCGCCTTGTGTTGTACGTTAGATAAGCCCTAAGGGGTCGAAGTCTGTGCGTTTTTATTACAAAAACATATTGTATTAGTGTGTAACAGAAAAAACTCTCACGCTCTGTATAATAGTTAGATTATAATTAATATTTATATAAGAACGGCTTAGTATGCCGTGCATAATGTTCAAGCGTATTGACTAATAAAAAATGATTTTATTAACAAAAGCCGAAGAATAACTAATTAAAACACACAATATCATAGTAAAATCAATTCATTCATCTGTCCGCTCAGAATCTAATAGTAGGAGTAGACAGTTTCATTTGTCATATATTATACTGTTACATCTTATATTATATCTTACATCTTATAATATATTGTTACTCAAAAAGAACAAAAAATAATTTGAAAATCATATCAAATCTAGAAAATGGGTAGGCGGAAAAAAAGCCCAGAAATAGAAATAGAAATCTGAACACATGTATACTCTACTCCTAATGACCTAATTAGTAATTGCCATATACCTATAACAAAATATAATTATATATTATATATTATAATGAAATTAATAATTAATTGTTAATTGTATAAAATACAGATTGTGAATCAAATAAAAATATAAATATGAACACAATATTATGTATACGTCATGATTTATTGTGTTATAAGTTATGAGTCAAAAAACATCAGTCTTAGGTATATACATAGTACAATAGTTTATAAATCAAAAAACGTAAACCTTATACTAAAATGTATACAAAAATTACAAAACCGGAGGTAATTTAATATATTTAGAGAGCAGGTAATAATCATAAACGTCAGTCAACATATATATATATATATATATACACACTACTACAGTGTTGGGTAAGTTACTTTTAAAAAGTAATCAAGTTACTTTAATCGTTACTAAGAGATAAATGTAATTAAGTTACTTAACTCGTTACTCAAATAAAATTGTAATGAAATTACTTTACTTTTCAAATAGAAAAGTAACTCATTACTTTCTCGGTATAAAAAAGAAATTTTAAATTTCTTGGCAATTATTTTCTGATGGCAATTAACTGTTCTCTTGATTTAGGTGCAATTGAACATTTTAAATGTCAAAACCATTGAAAAATGAATTGTGGAGAGTTAAGATTAAATATATATACATATTAGATTGGTGAACATAATAATACCAGCTTTATACGTATATTTTGTTTTCAATTCGCAATAGGTAGGTTGGTACTTAATAATTTGCAACTGTATGGCGTTATTTTATAGAAATTACTTTTCAAAGGTAATTTCCATTACATTTTTGTTACTTGGAAATAATTTTAATGAAATTACGTAACGCGTTACAAGCAAAGTAACGCCGTTGCAGTAATGCGTTACTTTCGTTACGTTACTACCCAACACTGTATATATATAATATATATAAAAATATAAATGTTAACACAATATGTATACTGTACTCCTAATTAAAAATTCAAAATTATGTACATATATAATATGTATTTAATTTTTACCATTACTAATTACCATGTATCCATAGGCTATAACAGAATATAATAATATATTATATTTTGTAATGAAAATAATAATTAATTGTTAATTGTATAAAATATAGATTGTAAATCTAACAAAAATATAAATATTAACACAACATATTATATTAAACATAAGTCTTAGTAATTGTTAATTGTATAAGCGGCCAATATAGACCAATATAAAGAAAATCTTAAAATTTCAAATATAAATAATTATATGTCTGAATATGAACTTTGTTCTATTGAAAATATTATAAGATCTTCTTATTCGTTTCTCAAGATTATAGTTTATATAGGGGGTTTGATACTGCCACGTGCCACGAACCACAGATGAAAAACCTGTCAATAAATTGCATTTTTACTACCCAACTATTGATAAGCCTTTTGACATTTAATTTAATTTATATTGTTCGGTACTTACCAATATAATTTATATATATATATATATTATATAACCAGTCAAAATGTCTACACTCCATATAGTACTCCATTACTTGGTTGTTGAGATACTATCTACACATCTTACTAGTACAGTTTTATCCAGTTATAAATTTGTTTTATATTTTTACTTTTGCTTTGACTATGGAGATTATAAAATCAAATAAAGGTTGTTACAAAGGTTATGTATATGTTGTAAAGCATATTGGCATATCAAAAATAACCTGGATGTGTAGTTCTAAGAGGTGTTCAATGAAATGTACTGGAGAATTATACACCGATCTAAAAATAGAGAACCCAGAAGTAAAAACAGGACAAAGCCGTTTGAAAGATGATGACAGTGTAAAGGTAGAAAAAGCTTTGTGTGCGATGAAGGAACGATCGAAAACTGATTTATCTAATAGCCACTTGAAGTTAATGCGGCAGAAATTTCTAAGTTGGACGGTAACACTAGAGCGAAGATGCCAGTGGAAGACCATGTTAAAAGAACTTTAAGAAATCAACGTTCTGCATTAAATCCAGTTGAACCAACTAGCCTTGATAATTTGGTCATTGATGGTAGGTACCTAAATTTTATTAATTAATTAATTATCTAAAATTCAATTCTTTACTTTTAACAGATGAGTGGTGCACAATAGGTCATCCTGAGTATGAAAATTTTTTAATTTTTGACATTGGTATTAATTCTGAAGGAAGGATTCTCATTTTTGGGACTGTAGAAGGTATGAACAATTTATCAAAATCCAATACTTGGTATTTAGATGGTATAATATATAATTATATTTTGTTATAGGTATATGGTAATTACTAATTAGGTCATTAGGAGTAGAGTATACATGTGTTCAAATTTCTATTTCTATTTCTGGGCTTTTTTTCCTTGGTGTGTTTATTTTTTGGGCTTTTTTCCGTAGGCTTTTTTTCCGCGATTCTAGAAAATGGTACCGTAAAATGGGGTAACTCCGGACGAAATTTACTATTTTTTTTGAATATTTCTGAAAATAATGAGTCTAAAATTCTGTAAAAAATTTCAAACTTTATCTTAGTTCATGACTGTGCTGTTATCGGTTTTGAATTTTACAAACAGAATTTTTGATTATCAACCGTTTACCTCCATCAAGGTGTATGCATAAGGTGTCGTCACTCTCGACCACTATACGTATACACTCTTGATTGAAAATATTACCACAGTTCTATAGTGACCAGTACGCGCTTCCTGTTCTATGAAGGTCTGTGTTTTCATACTGTTGTATGCAAAATGTCTTAAAACATTTGAAACAATTAAAATGCTATTTTTTTTT